CCTTGAGTCGCTCCGAAAGTTGGTCTCGAGACTCCGTCGGGGTAGGGGGCTTGACGGATTTAGATCTCAATATACCAGACGGCGGCCGTTGAAGCTTGAAGTATGACGGTGGGCCAGTAAGAGAATTGGATCGAGACAGCCGAGATCCACCTTCTTCGGAAATGGTGTCCATCGAATTAGCCTGCATCTGTTTCAACGACGTGTTCTCGACTTTAAGTGTCTGAAGCTCCTGCTGCAATTTCGACGATTCGTAGTTCATCTTCTCAAGTTCCACAGCTTGTGCTTCAAGGCCTTCCACGCGTGCCCTGAGTTGGGGAACAATTTCGTCCCGAAGGTTGTCGCGTTCATTCGAGGCATTCAGAAGCTCGTCCTTGAGCGCTGTAAGCAAGTCCTCGAAATTATCCTTGACCTGACGCTCCTCAGTAAGCTTGCGCCGCAGGGTCTCACAGGTACTTTCTAATTCCTTAACTCGTCCACTAGTATCGACATTGTTAACTTTCGCAAGATCGATCTGGGATGCCCTCTCTGAGAGTTCTTTGATTTGCTCGTCGAGCTCTGATCTCCTAGACCTCTCATCCTGGAGTTTGTTGGTCAACTCAAGCCTGATCTGGGCCTTCTCTTGCTCGGATCTCCTTTGGATCTTCTCGATCTCTTCCCTAGATTGGTCATATTCGCTCAACTTGGCCGAGCTGTATCCCGAATCCGAGAAGTAGTCGCTGGTCCTCTTGTTTGCTGTTGTTGTAGGGTTATCCCTCTCTGTTTGTAATCTGTCAACTAAATCTTCTAGGTCCATCTCGCGCCGAATTGACGCAGCCAATTCGGCCGAGATGGCCTTTAGCTCATCTTCCATCTCTTCGATTTGATGGTGAGGTGAAAACGTAGCGGTTGGTGGTGTTGCCAAGTACGATTCGCAGTAATCTCTAGAAGTTGGTGATCCGAATAGCGCCTTGGGGGCGTCAAGTAGTGATTGTGGTCCAACTGTTGTGACTGGGGATGCATCGGTAACACTTGTTGTCTTTGAGAATGGGAAGGGTGATGGAAGAGGCGAAAACCCTTTGTCCGAAGTCTCTGTATTCGAAGGCGAGTTCCAGCCAAAGAAGTTTCCTAGCTTTGATGAGTTTGGCGATTTAGGCAGTGGCTTGTCAGTGTTTGGGGTTTTAACTTCGTAGTTGTCAGATATTGAATCGGCTGGTTTGAGATTCAATTGTGGTGGTGTGGTCTTCCGGGTGACATGCAACGACATAGTATTGGAAGGATTAGAATTACTATTATAGGACGAGTCTGAGTTATACCCGTCCAGAATGTGCTCGCTCAGTGGATCCTCCTCTTCGTCACTGAAAAGGTCGTCATAAGTGGACTGCTCGTGGTGTTGCGACAGGTCGGTTGTGTGGCGTGTTTGAGGAGCAACAGGGTTGTCAGCCCGAGAACTTGGACGTTTGACTTCACCCGCTACGACAGCCAGAATGGAATCGGCAGAAGCCAGAGGATGACGAGTTACGGAACGTTTTCTGGTTAATATCGAGACTTAATTAGCATATACTGGATTTAGATGATTCGCGTTGGATTGTAGATTAATGAGACCCTGACTCACTCCTCGCTTCCCTGTATCAATATGAAGTCGTCAGGCGATTCCAATCCAGCTCTAGGGACTGGAGGGCGAGGAAACTCGTACACGGTAGGACTATCCACCGAGCAAGAGCGAGAAAACCGTTGGTCTGGCCTGGGCAACCCCTTTGCGATGGCCAAGTACTCTCCAGAGGAATACCTAGCAGTAATTGGCGACGCGGTCGACGATACTGGCTTCCGTCGAATGGACCTGGCGGGTGGCAATATGACAACTGAACTGTCGATGACAAGACCTCTCGTGTTTCTTGAGACCGGCAAATCGGGAACTGCGTCTATGGAATGCGATTGGTCTGGGAGGGAAGGAAACGGCTGCTGAAGGAAAGACAGATCAGATGAGGCATGGGAAGTCTCAGAGTTGGCCGTCAAGGAGGGCCGGTGCGGGTGGTCTTGCAAGCTCTGGTTCGGCATAGACATGGTGCTTGATCTACTCCCTTGTCCTCATGACTAGTCGACTGGGTAGTTGGAATGTGGAGAGTTACAACCTGGGCCAAGAGATTATTGACTCGGTCTCCTAGACGAGGTGGTAATGTTTCACTGGTAGAAGAGAAGGCAACTTGGACGACCTAACAAAACCTAGGTTGTCGACAACCAAGAAAAGTAAGAGAGCGCAACAGTAGAGAAAGAACGAAAAGCACCAGAACCCGTCTAAGTTGGGGTGTGGGATGTGTCGAAAGGGGTATGGCGGCTAAGACTATGACTAGGTAGCGTCGCAATCGGTCTTTTACACCATTATTAGGCCATTTAAAGGATCAAGGATGTTGGAAAGCATTGGCAGCTATGTGGCTCCTACTTCTCGTCCTGCAGGCGCTCGAAAGCTGACAGACATCGCTGTAGCGCGTAAGTTTCCCCAGTCGTTCCCTTGGTTGGCTTTGAGTGGTTCTCTTCTGGTCCATATGGCTTCCAGGAGACGATTCTACTGGCTGGTCATTATCTTGGACCCCTGCGAATCTACCAACCACTCATCAACATTCCGCGTTGAAGACCCTGTCGCGTCCATTTTGGGACATCTGTAATTTTAATTCCCCTGCCGGCACTGGGAAGCGAACAAGATGGCTTGTAGGCGCTCTTGCGTGCATTTGGTTTAAGAGGGAGGGCGAACTTGCAAACTGGGCGAATTATCTTCGTTTACACCTTCGCCAAGGACCCAGATCCTGCTGCGTGTTCTCCTGCATATTCTCCTGCATACTGCAGGTACCAACCTGCAAGCAAACGGCATTTAGGTAAATGATCGTCACCCATCCGCGGGGCGTTTGGTTCGCTTAGAGGTAGGTGTGCCGTACATGCAGTAGAAGGCAAGATACTACCCAGGTAATCTCAACTTCGCGATGTCGACTTTCCCTTTTCGAAACGACCAGATAAAAAAAGATCGATCTCAATATCGCATTGCCCGATCCATAGTAGCGCCTCAGGCGGCTAACGGCAAATTGAAAGTCAATTGAAACCTACTGTGCTAGGTGGCCTTCAATTGACTGTACATTTGTGTCATTTGTGTCACTATTGTCATTATTAAAGAATAGCATAGCGCGCGGTAAGGTATGGCGTTGAAAGAACCATGACCTATGACCGCGACAAGAGTTCATTGAAGACACAAGCTACAAGGTCAGGGGTCCACGAGGCTCTGCTTGTGGCATATACCGTACGTACGGTGCAAATAAGAATCAAGAAATCTGACCTTGATGCGTGCAAGCTTTGACCCCAATCAGGTCTAACCAGAAGCTAGAAGTTGATACATAGATGCTTGGAATTCTTTTATTAGCTCGAGCCTCAAAGATTAACGGCCCGCCATACATAGTGCAACGTCGAACTGTTGTACATGTGACGGTAGTACCTATTATCTATGTACGTAGTGCTGGCGAGTTTTATGAAATCAATCTGATTGTTTCAATTCTCGGGATACAATTTGATAAACATCACGATATCGAGCACCTGCATGCTTAGTGATGCTTAGTGTTTCATGGCCCCGAGACTTCAACATATAGTTCAAGATGGCTTCACCTTTTTAGGGGTCGTCAGCAGATTGGCGCTGTAGATCAGGGGGCCCTTCCCACTCCGCGATTAATTGCTTGATTAATTGTCAGCACTTAGTCAATCCTTGTGCGCATCAGTGGAACGGTTTTCTAATGTAAGGTAAGTGACCGAAGCTAGATTCATAGTTCAAGTCAGCATACAAAAAGGATAGCTGATAATCAAATATGTACGAAGAAGCGAATATTAATTGCTGTGACGAATCAAGATTCCATTCAAATACCTAGAAAGGATGACGAATGATTGAATGATTGAAAGCAGGATGATTTAAATATGGCGTAACTAAATCGCATGGTAAAATCCGACTGGATAAAAATAGCTAGCGTCAGGGACCATCCATAGAATTTAAGACAGTACGTACTAAATGTTTTAGGATTGGATTGGCTTGATGCTCTTATTGGTCATCCAATAAACATAGAGGAAGAAGTGATCCTGAACTAAGTGGCTAAGTGGCTAAGTGGACATCATTGGAAGTTGGTTAATCTTGATAACATGTCATGCTGGTCATGTGAGACATTCTTAATAACTTAAAGGATAGTCAATTTCCTGTTCATCACTGCAATACTCATACTTGAAAAAAACAGTATGTTAAGCGGTGACAGGAAACAAGTTGAAAGACGTTTAGTTGTGCAGCAGAGAGTTCCCTCACAACCACAACCCCCAAAGTCCCAACGACCTATCTTGATTCGGAAACATTTCCATACGAAGGCCAACGCCATCAATATGGAGCCTCCAAGTTGAACTGCAAGGAATGGAGGCTCAAACAAGAAACTTAGTTCATTCGCCTGCCTTGTCAGTCATCCTGGTAAGTCATCATCAAGGCACGTGGTTCGAAGCACAGCCTTCTTGTTAATAGGTAGGTGATGATGCGCTTGAAATTTTTATTTGAAGCCTTCAATGTTATTATTAACTTCTTGTTAAAATGTCCTAAAAATATCGACGAGTGCTCACAAGAATAGGCTTCAGTCAGTTGGTCCTTTTAGTCTTTGAAACTCGCCTTGATTCCTTTCGATGTGTGTGGTTTTTAAGGGCCATTGTATATGATGACAAGAGAATGAGGCGTCTTGCTTGTGAAACAAAGAAGCTACTCTAAATAGGTACTTACTAAAAGTCTCACCCCCAATAATTAGTACCTGTAGATCAGCTGAATAGTCGTCGAAAAACAATAACTACCTACCTACTTTGTAGAGACTAATCGGTTTAAAGAACCAAGTAGGAGAAACAATCGCAGCCTCGCTACCAGTGATTAGTCAGGGGATTAGGGCAAGAGCGACCGGCACAATGTCGGAGCTCCGTGCCTACCTTTTTACACTACCGATATATACGCCAGTTCTAAGCGAATCATCACAGCCCGGTTAGCTCAATCGGTAGAGGTTAGTAAATATCAGTCATCGGATTTGATTCCTACATCATATACTAACATTGTCAATAGCGTGAGACTCTTAATCTCAAGGTTGCGGGTTCGACCCCCGCATCGGGCTCAATTCCCGATGCATCTCTTCTAGAGATACGTCGAATCAATTTTTTTTTTTTTTAGGGGTCTTTCGACCCCTTTTTCCAGCCCTATATTTTCAAGGTTTTTATTATTAGTGCTCTTCAAGTTTTTTTTTAGCCTCCATCTAGTCCTTGCTTCGTATGGGATGTTGAGATGCCGGGAACTCGGTATCAGATATTCTCAGCCCATTGTTGCACGAGCGACACGCTCAGGTTTTTATTCCGGTGGGACGATGCCGGTGCCTTGCTTCGCAAGAGCCTCACCGGGTTCTCTGTTTCATATCGACGATCCAGCAAGAAATGGCCCCTGATGCTTCCAGGCTTCGTCATCGGCTACCAGCAGACGGCTACTGATACGAGATGGCGTCTTCCGAGTATTGCTAAAAAATCAATAATTCGGTGGCTTTCTGCATATAATATACGACAGCCTACATATCTAGCTGCGAATATGCAGGCATTCATCCGTTCAGCTATTTGCCGAATTATTAGAGCATATTAATTGGTTGGTACTTGTTTCTATTCATAGATATTTCTGAGTGTTATGAAGATACAGAAAAAGGGTTAATGTCGGCATTAGCTATTCTCTGGTCTAAACTTGCGCGCCACGTAGAAAACTCAGGGGCTTTCTTCCAAGACCAAATGAATTTATCCTCCATGATAATCAAAGGATTGTATAAAGTATAAATACCTATGTATAATGAATACTATATGTCTATCAATTACTGATTAAATATGTACGAGTTAAGAATGACTCATGATGTTCCCTGGTATCTCATCCCAAACACCACTGCCATGCAAATTTTAAATAGGTGCTTTTCAAAACACGCTGCTCTTGCTCCATTTATTGGCAGCTCTAATTCTCCTCCCAAAGAAATAGAATACATAAGGCACCGGGATTAGCAAGCACGCAAACCCCGCGAATATGCTCGACCCGGGCCCGACCCCGATGTTGTGATAAAGGGGCGTGACGACGAGCGGGAACGCGGCCGCGAAACAGCTGCGCATGAACGTGTTGGCGGCTACGGCGCTGGCTGCATACATCTGGAACGTATCGACGAGGTAGTTTAACGCGGCCTGGAAGATCGTGTTGAAGCCGCACCCGGAAATATATAACCCGATAATAGGTACGATCCAATGCGCAACAGCCGGGTCCGCTGTCCAGCCGGTAAGGAATTGACCAGCTGCGAAAAGTATAGATCCTAGCATCATCGGAGGGAGCCTCTTTTCAGGAACAGGTTTATCGCCGGCCGCGTGATAGGCCTTATTGTAGTAGAGCTGGTTAAACATATTGATGCCCGCACCAGTGAGAGAGCCAAGGAGAAGGGCTAAGAAGGGTAGCTCGGCTGGTAATAATGACCAACCCCTGACTTCGCCGAATATGATGGGGACGGCCCCGAGCTGCATATAGAGTATTCCATAACAAAAGCTGGCATATAGTGCAACAAGGAAACAAATAGGCGTGCAGAGCAACTGGATGGGTCGGACAAGAAACTTCCTCGCGAGTTCCATGATGCTAACATCCCATTCCTCGAACTTTGTGTGCAATGCCCAGTTGCCCGTCTCAAACCGCAACCGACGCGCCTTGGTCATGAGGAGCCTTGGCGGATAAGTCTCATCGATGAAGATGATAGCAAAGACTAAGACAACGGATTGTAGCATCCCAGTCGTGTATTCGGTCCAACGCCAGCCGAGATTTGGTTGCACCACGACGGCGGCCGACACGATGGGTCCTAGAGTAGGTCCGCCCACAACAGCCATCGCATACCCTGCCATTGCAATACCTCGATATGCCGGCGTGAACAGGTCCCCGAGGACCCCGCCGGTATTTGTGACCGGCGCCGAGGCGAATATAGCGCCCCAGAACCGCATCAGCATGAGAGTCTGGAAATCCTTAGCGGTCGCAGCTCCGAATGAAAAGCATATGGAGATAAACATAGGTGTGAGCACTGCCACACGTCTACCATAAACCTCTGACAGTGGTGCCCAGAGTAAGGGTCCTATACCGAAACCAAGAAGAAAGAGAGTTGTGCCCAGCGTGGCTACTTGTTTGCCGACGTTGAATTGTTCGGCAATCTGCGCCGTGCCCGCAGAATATGATGAGGAAGCCCAGGTGGCGCTCATAGTGACTAGGCCATAGAGGAGCGTCGTCAATACTTTCTTGTTCCGCGGCCAATTTAAGGGGTGATAGGGGTCATCAGGCCCGTCGAAGTCGACGAGACAGTCTTGGCCAGTTCTCACCTCGGCAAGCGGGTGGCTGAATGGCGGCACTACTGGTCTGGAGCGTACCCGAGACAGGACGGTGTCCCGACGGGAAACCGTTCGTGAAAGAGACCTCGAGAGTCCGTCCGGATCATCCCGACCGGTCGCGCAGATCTGGGACGCACGTTGGTCGAGAGTACACGGCCGGTGACCATCATGATACTTTTCGGCCTGAGAACAGTCGCAATTAGATGGATTCCAACTGGACGCGGTTGCGGGGGAATCGGCATCTGGGACTAGTATTCCAGAAGACCTACTACGGGAGTGTTCAGAGTCATCCTCGTCTTTAGGTATTGACATCATTGGTCTTTTCAAGATATCCAAAAGGATTTATAGGTAGGTAAATACGTGAACCTAAACTATGTAAAGAGCAACCATCAGTGGCGTCGTTCCGATTGCAGATATAATCTACCTACATCATATAGTCATAATGTTTTTTTATGGAACTAAGGCCGAAAAGCCGAATTAGTTGAGCAACGATCCGATTCGGTTTCCGATGACGTAGGACATTGCCAGAACCTACCGTTCAAAATATTCTAGCCCGAGGTCGGATTGGAAATTATACCTTAAGCTACATGTAGGTATGTTCTTTTTTCTTAAGACAAAGATAATCGCCTGATACTCCCCCCTTGATTATTCCATAAGTACATGTTGGCATCGCCTAGATATGTACATACCTACTTGGGGAAGTAATATCACCCGACTGATAAAAGCACCTGAGGAAGCTACAGGCCTTCCCCCCCGGCCCCGCTCCGGCCAAGGCCGCAACCGAGAGCTCCGGGTATCTCCGAGCATTGTACAAATTTAAACAATATAAGTAAAAGGTATTTAATGATAATATTATAAGATTATATAATGTGTTTTTAATATAAAATAATATTTAAATATATATTAAAATGTAATATTTAAGTATTTATTTATTTAAATTATTTAAATAAATAATATATATAAATTTAATGTAATAATAAACATCGAAAAAAAAGTTTAATTATTTTTAAATAAATAAATGTTTTTATATAAATACATTACGAAATTAAAAATAAGTTCATTTAAATATTTAATATAAATTAAAATTAATTAAATATTAAATTATTTAAAAAAGTTTATAAGTTTCCGGATTATATTTTTATAAAATATTATCGAAAGTTAAATAAATGTAATAAAAATTAATAATAAAACTTAAATATTAAAAATTAATTTAATGTAATAATTTTTTAAAAGTTTAAAATTTATAATTTTTCGTTTTTAATGAAAAAAAAATTATTAAATTATTTAACTTTAATTTATATAAAACTTTTTAACGTTATAAACGTTTTTTAATTTTTATTAATTTAATATTTAAACTTTTTATATATAATAATTTATATTTTAT